CTTTTTCATCCTGGCCGGTTTGGCTCAGTAGATAGAGCGTCGTCCTGTGGACTCAAGGGTCCTGGGTTCGATTCCGGTCAAGGGCACGTGCCTGGGTTGAGGGCTCAGTCCCCAGTAGGAGGCGTGTAGGAGGCAACCGACCAATGGTTCCCTCTCATCATTGATGTTTCTATCTCTCTCTTCCATTCCCTTATTCTCTGAAATCAATAAAAATATATTTAAAAAATATATAAACAGTCTTTTTCACTGTCAGTTCATTGTTTTGTTTTTTAATCTTTTAGTTTTTAGGGTTACCTCCTCCCCCATCAATAGAGGAAATGTATGGCTAGATATTTCTTGATATTACATAATTAATATTAATTTCAAAAGTGTGATAGTGACATTCTGGTTATTACATTTTTAAAGAGTCCTGTTATGAACTGAATGTTTGTGAATCCAAAAATTGATATATTAAAACCCTACCCTAAACCCCCCGTGTGATGATATTAAAAGATGGGGCCTCTGGGAGATAATTAGGGTCAGACGAGGGCATGAGGGTGAAGTCCTCATGATAGGAAAGTACCCTTTTAAGAGTTAGGAGAGAGCTTGCTTTCTCTTTCTGTGCTCTACCATATTAGGATACAGCTAGAAATTAGCAGTTTGCAGCCTGGGAGAGGGCCCTCATCAAGACCTGACTGTGCTGGCACCCTGAGCTTAGAACTGGGAGATATAAATTTCTGTTGCTGATAAGCTACCCAGGTTATGGTATTTTCTTATTGGAGCACAAGCTGATTAAGACAGATTCTTTCTTTTAAAGATACATTCTAGAATATTTACAAAGGAACAGTTATGAATTCTGGAACTTGTTTTTACAATTACTTAGAGGTGAAGGGGATTGTGTGTGAGTTGTAGGAACAGATGAAATAAGGTTAGCAGGAGTTAATACATTTGGAAACTGGCTGATGAGATCTGATTCTAAGTCCCCTTGACTCCAAAGCCCATACACTATTTTATCTGGTGGGATACCCAAGCACCATCAATTTCAAAGCCATTTTCCCTGGGTCTTCTCTAAATGAAGTAAAGTCGTGACTTTTGAAAACTAGCTGTTATGGTGCATTCTTCCTGTCTTCTGAATTTTGATTAACCTCCTGTAAAGGAGCCAGACCTTGGAAAAGAAAATATAAAGTGTATGTTTTCCCCTTGGGCAACACTCTGTAATAGCTCAGGCACTCTGAGTACTGACTGATGTGATCCAAATTCATGCAATGCTTTCTTTGTTTGCAGGTACAGAGACACCCTCAGCCGAAGCCACTAAGTTGTTGCTGAGGCTTAGTTGTTGAGACTGGAAGTGATTTGAAAAGTCTTCAAATGGCCATTTGTGAGAGTGTTCTACTTAGGTAGCAAGTTGCCATTGCCACCACAGAAATAACCTCTACTGAACTTCCTATTGGGTCTCAAATCTGAATTGGAAATTGTCCACTCACCCATAAATGGGTTTATCATGAAGTGATCGAAGCTTAAGCTTCAGGGTCCACCATCTGTCAGGCTGCTTACAAGATCCCAGCAATACGGTTGTTATAAATTCAGAGAGCACTTTACACAGTCCCTGCCAAGAAAACTTGAATTGCCCTAAAATCGTATAGATAATTAATGCTAAAAACTTGACATTTTCCAAATTTGACAATAGTCTTATAAATGACTTTGGGAGTAGTGAGATGTGAAACTGAAAGAAACTTTTCTAATCTGTCAGTAATGAAAAAAATTTAATCAGCTATTCTAGAGGAAAGATGAATTATCTTTTAATTCCCTCTATAGGAAATATTACAAAATCATTATCACTTAAAGATGTTAACAGAGGATATACAAACAAAACAAAACAAAAAAACAACAACCATAGATTATGTCATCAAATTAGTAAAGCTTATTTTTCTGGATTCGGGGATCTTTGTGGTATTTGTCAGCTTTTCAAAATTTGTAATTAGTTGTAATTTCTTTTCTCATTCTATATGAATATTCATTATTAAACCTAGCTCTTTTTTTTTCTTTTTATTGAATTTATTTGGCTGACACTGGTTAATAAGACCCTAACTATTTTGTATTCATAACTTTGTATTCATTTTCTTAAAAGGTACTCCCAAATTGTATTAGCAACAGGCATTGTAAAACCTGGACCCACCTTTGTACCCACCCCACTCTCTCTCAGGACGGTTTGTATAATGAGCTGTTTTTGTCTTCCTGTAGGAAGTTGACAGAGCTCCCAAAAGGCCTTCTTGTTCTTCCTTTCTTGGAAGAAAGGGGGGCCCACCTTGAAAAGTTAGCTCAAGATGTTGCTTCCGGTGGAGCCAGGCAGGAGTACACCAGTATTCTCTTGTGTCCACTTATCTAACAGGTGTGGCTGGGTATCTGTATTATCACAGCTTCTGCCTCTCATCTGAGACATATGGTCTGGGCTAGCCACAGGACTGGCTTCGGTAACTGGTTTCTTAGTCGACATGCCCACACATCCAGTGACTGCAGCTCTCCTGGTGGGGTGGGACACATGTCCTACCATCTTAATGAGATTTGTGGTAGCTCTCTTCTAAGTTTTCCCCTTCGCAGAGGCCATCTGTTCAGCCTCCAGTCTCCCATTCCTAGAAACCCTGGCCCCTATATCCTGGTCCCTCGTACCTGGAGCACAAATGGCTCTCAGAGAACTTGGGTCCATGACATCTCTTGCCAGGACACAGGTGCGTTCAGACACTGATTCTCATAAACTCTGAGCTACATTACAAGCATTGGTAGACTGTACTTAATGCTAAATAGTTACAATATATTTTGAATTGAAAGCTAGGGAAAACAGTGGGAAAATTTTGTGTCCCTAAATTTTGAAATTAATTCAAAATTATGAAAATAAATACTAAAAATCTGAAGTGTCCTTAAAAATCCAGAAAATATGTAATTAGAGAGCAGTGTAAGTTAAAGGGATTAAGAAGTAAATTGGTAGTTATAAAATAGTCATGGAGATGTAAAGTATAGCATAGGAAATATACTCAATAATCCTTTATAACAGTGGTTCTCAACCTTCTGGCCCTTTAAATACTGTTCTTCATGTTGTGACCCAACCATAAAATTATTTTCGTTGCTACTTCATAACTGTAATGTTGCTACTGTTATGAATTGTAATGTAAATATCTGATATGTAGGATGGTCTTAGGCGACCCCTGTGAAAGGGTCATTCGACCGCCAAAGGGGTCGCAACCCCCAGGTTGAGAACTGCTGATATATAATAAAAGGGTAATATGCAAATTGACCCTAACTGGAATGACTGGTTGCTATGACGTGCACTGACCACCATGGGGAAAATGCTCAACACAGGAGCTGCCCCCTGTGGTCAGTGCGCTTCTACGGAGGGGAGCACTGCTCAGCCAGAAGCCGGCTCATGGCTGGCCAGTGCAGTGGTGGTGGCGGGAGCCTCTGTGCTAAGGATGTCTGACTAATGACTTAGGCCCCTCCCCATGGACCTAAGGGTCCCCAGTAGGCCTAAGCCATTAGTTGGACATCCCCCAAGGGCTCCAGGGATGCCAGAGGGATGTCTGACTGCCAGCTTAGGTGGACAACCTCAGAGGGGTCCCAGGCTGCGAGAGGGTGCAGGCCAGGCTGAGGAACCCCCCCAGAGTGCACAAATTTTTCTGCACCAGGCCTCTAGTATTGTAATAACTACATACGGTGCCAGATGGGTATTAGACTTATCGGGGCAATCGCTTCATGAAGTATAAATTTAAATGTCTAAGACGGCCCCGGTGAGGTTGCGACGGCCCCGGTGAGGCTGCGACGGCCCCAGTGAGGCTGCAATGGCCCCGGTGAAGCTGCAACTGCCGTGGTGAGGTTGAAACGGCCGCGGTGAGGTTAAAACGGCCCGGTGAGGTTGAGACGGCCCCTGTGAGGTTGAGACAACCCCGGTGAGGCTGGGACGGCCCCGGTGAAGCTGAGACGGCCCCAGTGAGGCTGAGACAGCCCGGTGAGGTTGAATCAGCCCCGGTGAAGTTGAGACGGCACCGGTGAGGTCGAGACAGCCCAGGTGAGGTCGAGACGACACCAGTGAGGTTGAATCAGCTCCGGTGAGGCTGAAACGACCCCGGTGAGGTTGAATCGGCCCCAGTGAGGTTGCAACTGCTGCGGTGAGTTTGAATCGGCCCCGGTGAGGTTGAGACGGCCCCTGTGAGGTTGAGTCGGCCCCGGTGAGGCTGGGATGGCCCCGGTGAAGCTGGGACGGCCCCGGTGAGGCTGAGATGGCCCTGGTGAGGTTGAATCGGCCCTGGTGAAGTTGAGACGACACCGGTGAGGTTGAATTGGCCCTGGTGAGGTTGAGACGGCCCCGGTGAGGTTGAG